AACCCCCCAAAACCCCAAAACCCCATGTATCATAATCAATCAAATTTAAAAACAATTGAAATTACTGATTTAAATACTTTGCTAATAGTGTTAATATTACTAAATTATCCATTTTTAATAGAAACATCATTCATTTCTAACTTTCAATTTTCAAAAATTCAAACAGCAATAGCCTGATCTCTATTCATTTCTCGCAATCTTTGCTGAACGAGCAATCTACTTTACCGATATCTTCGACAAATATTAACTATTGAAAATACAAGGAAGCATGGTAGTGCAATAACAATAAGGGGAATAGTTAAAACGTTCAAAACTAATCCAAGAAGGAATCCTAAAATTCCTACTAATATAAGAGCTACTTTCCTCTTACAACCCTAATAAGGAGATATTCTTTATCTGAAGCACTTATCAACGAATAATCCTGCCATAAATAATGGAGTTATAAAAATAACGAAAAATGGCAATAGAATTAGCATAAATATTCCTTTTATCAATCTCTTCAAAAACACTGTAAGTTGATTAAAAAATCCAGGTCTTAAATTGAAAGTACCTGTACATCCAATGGGATTTAGAGGATTAAAATGATCTGGAGCATACATGCCTCCACATATCCAACAAAATTCAAATCTGCAATAAATACAAGTCATATGATTACAACCATCATTTTTTTCAATTCTTATTTTGCAAGAGGGACAATATCTCACGTTATTTTCATTTACCCAATCAAAAAACTGCTTGTCAATTACACTATCGCATTTTGATGAGCCATGATATTCATTTCCACACTGAAAACAGACAAGTTGACCACATTCACATTTCAATTTCTTATCTTTTATACTTTTTGCCTTAACGTATTTTTCGCAAGTCGGCCTTGAACACCATCTAATGAGTGGATCCTTCTCGATCTTTCTCCTGAATACAAATCTTTTATACTTTTCCAATAGTTCTTATTCTGATTAAAGTAAATCTAGTATAACTTGTTCTTTTATATAAATTTAGCAGCTTGCATCCATACATTTTATATCAAGCACTTTTCCATCGTTAATGTTAGTTTTCAAATATTATATCGTGCAATCTGTGCAAAATTTATGCTAATCTTTGCAATCCAATTCAAGGTACTATGTCTTTGGCTCACAACAAATTGGACAAATCTAATCTGAGTCTAAATAATGAATCTCACTCTTCAACTTTTCTGCTAAATTATGACTCTTTTGCTTCATAAGATTCAAGTCTGGGGTAGGTATGGGCTGAATTTCAACAAGTCTTATCTCCTTGAAATTTAAATGATGAGAAGCATCTTCTTTGCAGAGATAGCAGACCATACCGTGAGTCTCAACGAAATCATGTCCATAATATCCTCTGTCATCCTTAGTAAGATAATCCAGAAGCCCTTACACAGTTAGATTTTCTACATGCAACTCTGCATACTCTACAACATCCATGTCAAAACCCATCATTACTACTTGCTTTATCATATCTTCTCTAGCTTTTTATTATTGAGAAGACACTGAGTCTCTTCTTTAGATATCAGAATTTTTCTTCTCTAGCACATGGCTCATTATTCTATCCTTTGCTTGCATCATTTTATCATTTCTTTCCAAAAAGACCATCTGCTACTTTATTTCTTCATCCTCCCGCTCATCGTTAAAATTTAGATAATTCATTTATGGTTTTATAAAAACTACATTACTGTTACTGATATAAAATACTCATGGGGTTTTGGGGTTTTGGGG